TGATGACGTCAGCTACACGGTTTCGTCGAGCGCCCTTTAGTCGAACGCGGTTTTGTGGTGGAACCGAATCAGGCAGCATCTTTTTATCTGCTTCTTTGAGTGAGAGTCTTTCCCTGCAAACCCTCTCTTAAAGAACTGAATAGTCAATGGCTGAGCTAAAAGGGATCTTGAATATCAGATAGTAGCATCTTCCTTAAGTACGAAAGGAGTATTTTGATCATCATTTGCTGATATTTTTAGTTAATGGAAGTTATTGCAAATGAATTGAAATGACAATATTCATTCTAATTTCATCCAAATGGTTTTTGAAGAGTTTTTCATTCCACATTTATATTTTTAGGAACAGTCAGTTAAAGATTCGAAAGAACAAAGAGAAGATTTCAAGCAGGAACAGAACCAAGAAAAAGAAAGAGAAGAGAAACTAAAAAATGAACAAGAACTCCAAGCACTGGAAGAAAGAGCCAAGAAACTAAGAGAAGGTAAAGTAGAAATGTTTATATTTGCAGGATTTATATATGAAAATGTCATTATATAATATATACACTTCCTCCAATTATCATCATCTATATTTCTTATATAATGATTATTTCATCTCGGTTGATAAACATGATGTTTTATTTTTACATTGCAGTAAGTAAATAATATGGAGAAGGTTTTTTTGTTGTTGTACAGTATATCTGTGATTGTTGTGGGGCAGTGAAACGAATCCTATCACATAGATCAGTGGTTCTTAAACTGGAGGTAATTACCCCCAGTGGGATAATTTGGACATGTCCTGGGGATAATGGAGCAATTTGTAATTGCTTGTTTGTGAGTTGAGGATCCAGTTTGGAACTGTCTGGTGCCAAGACACTTGTGAAAACAATGGCTGTGAATGTTATTACAGTGGTGTAATAACATTAATAGAGACAGGCAAAAGCAGTAATTGGATGAAACAATTTAAAAACCACTGACATTGTATTGAGGGCCTCTAGGCAAAAGGTAAGAACTCTCTTGAATACAATCACTGGTAACTTCCTGGATGTGTCCTTGGTAACTGTACTGAATTGGCCTACCAATACCTTCTTCTGAAACAAGGGAAGGAAACAAGAAGAAACAAGGGAAGGAAAGAGGGAGGGAGGGAAGAAGATANGGTCGTTGGGAGGTATGTGGCAGGAGGCGGCCCCGTAGGTACCCAGGTCCCAAGCCATGTATGAATTATCTGCAAGCCCAGCCATTATGGCTTATTCAACAATCTTGGCATAATTTAATGTATTGTCACCCCTTCAAAATAGATGAGGTCAGGAAGCAAGAATCACTAGAAGTCTTGGAATGCCGTTAGAGAATTGTAACAAAATATCGAATGCCTACCAAAAGCACCTTCTCTGTAATGTGTAGCTAGAGAAGTAGTTGTGAGCGGAGTTTTTGGCAATACAAAGTTTTCCCAGAGAGGCTCTGATTAAAAGACTACACCATCCCAAATAGGATGGGGCAGAGGTGAAGAGGTTCAGGGTAGCCACACTTAGCATCTCTCAGAATATATCTAGTAGTTTACAAGATTACAGCTTTAGTTTGGCAAGATTCTGTCCATAACTGTCTCATCCTACTAGAATAAACCCATCCTATTTGTGCCAGAAGAGTGGGCTTACTTTGCATCCCAAAACAGGGAATACTTTGTTGAAATGGACAATTTCAAACAGGAAGCCACTGAATAAACTGATCTATACAGGGAAGGTGCGAATAAACTTTTAGTCAATGAGTTTCTTGAACTGTAGGAGGACAATCAACTGGGGGATGTGTTAATCAATGAATGCAGATAATTTGTACTTTCAAGAGGTTTCTGTTGACTGGCTGTATCTTGAGCATTAATGGTACACTGCATCCCTTTGTCATCAAAAGTTGCATATTTATTTCTTAACATTTGTGACCTGCCTAATCTCCAGGAGCTCAAGGTGATGTATACAGCACTTGCCTTTTCCAATTTTCCCTGTAGCAATCCTGCGAGGGGGTTGGACTAGGAGACTACAGCATGTATTTAGTCCCAAATTACTTTCCATGGCCAAAGATTTGAATCTGGGTGTTCCAGGTTTTTGTCCAACAGCTGAATTGGCTCCCATTTATGTTGTCTCATCATGGTCAACATGGTACTTTCCAGACATGATTCTTCTATTTGCATATATATACATACATATCTGTTGTGGCCCGGCAGGAGCCGTTGGAGCTGCCACCAGACTCTGACAGCGAGGGGCCTTATGAGTCAGCCCTGGTGGACGTGGAGGACCCTGGACAGGGTTCCGACTCCGAGCAGGGCGCAGAGAGACTGGTTGGCCACCAAGTGGCGCCTGAGCCTTGGATCAGTGGGGAGGGGACAAGAGAGAGTGATCCAGAAACCACCTGTGAGTTGTTCCGGGATGCACGCCGTCGAAGGGCTACTCAGCATCAAGAACAACTATGTAATTACAGGAGATAATTACGCTCAGCTGATGCTCGTTAAGCTCCTCTCCAGATTATAAAGGAGACTGCTTGTGCCACGCCCTTCTTGCAGAAGTCAACTTAGGGACTAATGAGAAACAAACTTGGCAGGCTGGATGGCATTGCTGCCAAGGTTTGTAGGACTTGCTGCCAAAGTGCTTATCTGTCTGTTGATTTGGCTTTCAGCCACTGAGAGTCTGGACTTATTAAAAAACATTCTCAGTTACGTTTGTCTCGGCTTTCATTACTGGACGGAGGAGGGGGGTCAGAACACATATCCATAAATAGGAATTTAATGTGAAAATTAAGGGAAAAATAATGACAGGACACAGTAAATGATGTTTTATATCCCCCAAAAGCCACTAGTCTAATGCTTGGAAATAAAAATGTATGGCACACATACAGAATTTTAATCTAATTGTCTAATTGTCAGAATCTTGTTCTAGGGTTCTCTGCAGCCTGCTGGATTCCGTGTGTTTCACTCCGAAACACAGTTATCTCAAAACAAGGGATTTTGCATCATTGTTCGAAATATTATGAGTACAAAATAGTTTAGGAGGAATGGAGGCTCCGGTATAACGATTTTAACTAAATTAACATTTCAAATAATTCTCTGCCTCAGTGGAGAAACTGTGAAGTTCATCTGCCATTCTGTACTCCAGCTTGCATGCTGGAGAAGCAGGCATGTTTCTGCAATCATCAGCTCTTTGCCTTGCTGAGAAAAAGTGTGAACCAAATGTGAGTTTTTTGGAAACACATGGGCAAGCTGCCAAGGCACTAATGAAAGCTCATTCCAAGAAGAGTTGTCAGTCTTTTTATTGTACTGTGTTTCAGTCATCCACCTCCAGAAAGGCTACAGCTCATTTAGTTTCAACTCTGCTGTTGGTCTTTGCAGGGGGAAAAAAAGTCAGTTCTGTCACTTGCATGATGAAGCTTCTTCTGGAATGTTTTAACACTCACCCAAACCTTTGGCTAAAACATCTTAATGTTTTATCCATACATCCCCTGTTTATTAACCCCAACTCTTAATGGTTTTGTTTGTGCAATATCCATATTTAATGTAGCAGGTTTTTTAAAAATATAATATTAATAAGCAAAAACTAAAAGTTAGGACTATATAACTAAATGAATTAAAATACGGTTGGCTAATTTGTGGATCAATGTGTTGTACAAACACAGCCCTTATCAAGGAAAGAACTGTTGAATTCCAGCTGCATTTGTACTGCTTAAATTTTCATAGAATGTGGAGAGGAATGGAACAAATAAACCATGTTAGAAGTAGGAAATGTATGCTAACTTTCCTTGTTTTATCCCAGATAGTGATTTCCCCACAGTTGGTATTCTGTTTGGTTTTCAGCAGCAACTTACTTACAGTCTGTAATTTTTTTGCAAATTCAAATTTCTTACAATATTAGACAACTCTAGGATTAAATTTAATTATTTTTAGTTCATAAAGGGATACGTTCACAGGCCATCTCCATCCCTCCAAAAATAATTGCCATTGATCAATTAAATCCCCAAATAATATTAACGCAACAAGGCTTAAATGAATGCTGCCAGCATTTCTTTAAAAAATGTTTATTGAACAGAACACACACAAAAAAAGAAATTGTACATATTGGTATATATACAGTATGTGGTATGTGTGTGCATTTCTTGTTTGTTTATAGAATTTTACACAATTGTTTCAACAGAGGATGACAACATTTCATTATAATTGTTCATTCAAAAGTCTACTATTGTTAATTCATAAGCAACAACTAATATAAGTTCATCGAATAATTGGGATCATACATTTATCTTTCTAATACTGAAGAACAATATATTGACAACAAGAATGGTGTAGAAATTGCATCTATTTCCATCTTCCAGCCACTAGTTTCCATGTAGGTATAGACATCTGAAATTAAAATCTGATCAAAATTGGTAATATACATAATGATTTCCTGTGGTAAGTTCAACAAGAACAGACATTCCATAGTTTGCAAAATAAAACAAGTATACAGACAGACCATATATAAACACACACACACACACACACACACACACACACACACAAACAGTGTATTACATGCTCAAGACTATGTATTATATTGTAGGAAATATCTTGTTTCTGATTTGATACTGTTGTTGCTGCTGGAAGTGATACCTCAGATTCCTTTCAGGGGAATCTTTGTGAAATAAAATCTGTGACTCATGTCACAAATCAATATAATTATTTGGGAATCAAATTCTAATGTTTAGCAAAATAATATGGTGCCAACAAAAATATGCAAAAACATCAGTGATGTTGTTTAATGATTTGGAGGAGTTAAGACTTGCAAGCCATCTGCTAATAGGAAATTAACTAACCATTTAACTGATCAATTACCAGCTGCAACTGCACATCCAGGAGCATCTTGTGTGTGTAATGATGATACATCCTTTACAGCATGTAGGGCTTAAAAAAAACATTTAAAAAAAACCAAATATTTATTTTAAAATAATGTCATACAACAAAGCTCTACGTCGCCACCATCATCATCAAAAAGGACAGTGATTATACAACACGAAATACAATTGTAGTGAATAAAACATAACAAGAAATCTCAAATTAACAGGAAAAAGACCTATGCAATAAGCTCAAATAACTACATAGTTAATTCAATAATTAAGGTGATATGTAAATATAGACCACTTAGCAGCCTGCTATCTCTTGTCTAGACTCAGTCTAAACTGCTTAGACTTTTCAAAAATAGGTAATACATTCATATTCCTAATCCATTTCTTAAAATCAAGAGAATAACTTTCTTTCCAATTACATAAAACTATCCTAATGTCCATCTCTTTTTTGGAGGGGTGTCCCGTAAACCCCCCAAAAAATATTTTATGATGAATTAATTCTATTAATTCATACCCTCTGCTAAGAGGTATATTTAAATTTTTTAACACTTCAAGCCACTGTTTTTCCAAAACAGGGTATTCCAATTTGTCATTCCTCAATTCAAATATATAACTAAAATTGACTTTTATTTCTCATTTTAATACCTCTTTTAAAGAAGCTAAGATTTCAGGAACCATGGAAGGTGATTTAGATTTACGGTAGATCAAGATTTAGGATACATGTCAAAGGTGTTAAATCCATGCTTTCCAACAGGTCCAGCAAGCAGAATCATCATCATAATAAATTGTATTATAAAAAATAAAAATAAACTATAGGTGATATTATTACAGTATCATTAATCCAAAACTAATCCTTGTTTTGTCCAGCAAGCTCTGTAAACATTTGGTCTGCTTCTCAATATAAAATTACGATAAGACATGTTTAAAAATATCCTAGTTTATCTTTTTCATTTCACTGCTGTTACACAGTGGAATCTCAATTTATAACACATGGATACAAAAAAAAAATGCATTCAAGAGACTTAATTCTATGGTGAATCATGTCATTTACATAATTACATAATTCATCCAAGTGATGTAAAATTGCCTTCTTCCCTCTCTTCAATAAGTCCCTTAAAATGAGGTTTCATTATGCTTATTTTCAGATGATTTTAGGTATCACATCATGTGTTCAAGCAGCAGATGCTGGTGGGCAAGAAATCAAGGCAAAACGTGGGAAGACAAAGCCCTGTGTATTATAAGCTTAGACAAAACAATCGGAAATGCCCTGCTGCATTTGAACTATTGTGAAAGATATCTTCCTACCCATGGTGTTGAAGGTAGAGTCATCTGTAACTTCCAGCAAATTTCTATTCATGGAAAGAATGATGAGACATTCAACTTGCTGTTCCACTCAAGTAAAATCTCTTGGACTAGCTATGTGCAAATCGCTTATAATGTATTTAAACATTTCTTCCATACAACAGGCACCACTATATCAAGGAATGGTGCAGCCAGGGTCCAAATGGTGTCAGAGACATTTGTAGTTTGGTATAAATAAATATATTTTACATTTATATTTACAGCAGACAAGGTAGCCAGGAACACAGGAACATCATAAGATAGGCCTCTGCGCTGCCTGTTTTGGGCTGGCAGAGTGCTGGGTGGGGGGGGAGATATTTCCAGACTGGACTGTTGGGCTGGATTTAAGCACCCCATGGACCGGATCCAGCCTGCAGGCCTTGAGTTTGACCCCTCAGGTATAGGGTCTCCTGTCTGGAGCAGCGGGTTGGACTAGATGACCTCCAAAGTCCCTTCCAACTTTATTATTGTTAAATCAGACAGCATAATGAGCGCATAGAAGAAACAAGGTGGAGGAAAAGGAAACTCCTCCTTTATACCCACAGCAACCAATCATAGCCTAGATAGCCTCATGCAGGAACCAGCTCTCTCCAATCGGTCAACTACAATGGTGTAATCTGGGCCAGAGGTGGGTTCCTACCATTTCATACCTATTTGGTAGAACCGGTTCATCAAATCTACTGAACTGGTTAGAAGAGGTTCCACCAGTGGACCCGGAAAGCAGGCCACACCTTCAGAAGAGGTTCCAAAAATTTTTGCACCCCACCACTGGTCCTTGGAGATGATTATTCTACACTATCATGCTCCTATTTATAAAACTCAGTGCCTCTGTGAAAGGTAAGGATGACTACTGCGTTTGTGGTGCAATCAGAACATTGAGNATGGAAGCAGTTAGCTTCCTCCCATAATTGGGGCTTACCAGGGGTTGTAAAAATCATATATATTGTATTTGTGCTGATAAATAAATAAAGGGAGACTAGTATAGATCTATTTCAAGCTATTTAGCTCTCATCAGCTAGCTATACCCTTACTGGGAATATCTCTCTCTATATATGTGTGTGTGTGTGTGTGTGTGTGTGTGTGTGTGTGTGTGTGTGTATCTGTCTGTATAGTATAAATATGAGTGTATGTGTATGAATACACAGATACAGACACACACACAACTTTATATGTACACTATGAGTTTATGCATCGGAGACAAATTCCCCCCCCCCTCTCTTTCCCCCTCTCACTCTGTGTATTAAACATTTGCAGGATCTTGCAAGACCAGTGTTTTATTGTGCTTGGTGGTTTAATTTATTATTTCATTTTAAAAAGCATGAACTCTGTGTTTTATTGTATTTTAATTTTATTTCTTAATTCCATTTTAATCTGGTTCGGGCCACACACAGGATTTTTGTGGGCCACATATTTTCGACTCTTATGATTTGGAAAACGAAGCAGAATTGTTCTGTGATATTTCTAAAAATGAGACAAGTCACAAAGAGTTTAAAGTACAAGAGAATAAATTCTGGACAAATTTTCTAATATACTTGTTCAACAGGGGATGGGATTATTATGGGAGGTGGTGGACTCTCCTTTGCTAGAGGTATCTGAACAAAGGCTGGATAGTCATCTGTTGGGGATGCTGTAAATGGTGGATTTTTGGACTATGTAGGATTAGATATCTCTGACGCCATGAACTTTCACTTAAATATTTTGCTACATATATCTGAACTGATATACGTAGGGAACAGGGAATACAAATTGAAGAACTGGGTGATCTTTGAATCTCATCCTCTTTATAGGTGTGTGTTCATCTACCTTTCCATGGAAATTAGTGGTTTTGCCTTTTCATTACAGTACCTTTATATAGACGATAGAAATATTAACATCCAGCTCCATTCTCCTCCTTTAAAAAAAGAAAGAAAAAAGAAAGCCCTTTTAAAAAACCATTTTTTTATATTTGCTTGTCCTTAAAAGAACTATGTAAACACTACCCTTTACATTATTTAAAAATCAAGTATACCCTAATTGTAAATTATAACTAACATGTTGAATTATGCCATTGCACTTAATTGTTACTTAACAATAATTTTCCTTCCAATGAACTTTGGTCACATCTGTAGCCTTGGATCAATGAATAAATGAACAAGGATAACGTTTTTGATTTTTTTAATTGCTTTTTCTTCATCTAGTTTTAGGAGTGGTATGAAGAATAGGTCATGTTTAGGTCATATTTACACAGACATTTTCAAATTTCAACAGGTTTCAACAACAATCACTCCACTTTTAAGAACCACTGTATAGTATTAGTAGTGTGTTGTTTATTTTTTACCTAGACGACAAGATACAAATGTGGAAACGCATAAGTTCTGAATTTCTTTTCAGCCTTTTTGGAGGAGAAAAAAATGGCTTGTTTCAACTTATGTATGTCATACTAAACTATATTTTAGCAACATGTGTGAATGTCAATGTAATAATATGTAGATCTAAATTTGTTGCATTTTAACCTTCAGAATGGGAGCAAGAAGAATCAGGCAGAAAGAAGAAAGAAAACAGTCGTTTGCTTGAAAATGAAAAAGTGAAGATAGAGACAGAAGTATATGTTTCAGAAGAAGGAACACAGAATCATGACAGAACAGAGGAGGAAAGACGGAAAGAAATTCTGCTGGCCAAGATGCATGAAATCGACAAGGAAACACAAAACAATATAAATACGGCTTCCCAAGAACTTACCGCCGATGCCATCACTGTACCTTATACATTGGGAAAAAATAAGAGACTGCACCACTTGACAGAGACAATAGAGAAAGTGACTAATGGTTTGCCAGAACCAGATCGCAGAACCAGTACAGTTGTCAAAGAAGACATCCAGAAACCGCAGCCTACAGACATCACATGTACAAGCAACGATGTGATATTTGGTAGTTATGTACCTTCCTTTGGGAAAGGGTCAGGAAGGCCAAGCTGGCTTAATCAAAAAATTGACTTCTTAGATGAACTCACTAAGGAAAACGTAGGTCTTGATACTAAGAAAGAGAGAAAGTCTAATTTAATGGAGCAGCTGTTTGGTAGCAATGTCAATACAATCACTCCACCTAAGAGAAATGATTTTCAACAAGACGCTAATACAAACAATGGTTTTCAGGCTAAAGGAAACATGGTCAACATTAAAAATGACACTGATCTGTTCTTTAGTGAAGGAAAGAACTTTATATCCCAAAGACAACGACTGCAACACACAGCAAATAGACCAGCAGTTAAGGCACTTGATTCTTTAGAAGATGACATTGAGGAAGTATTATTGCAGTGATTTTATTCTGTAAAATATGTAAATAGTTATATTTAGTATGTTTACAGTTTATAAATTCAAAGTGATTGAAGTTAAGTTATATAGCTTTGAGAATGATCAAGAATGCAACTTTTTTTTATTTAATGCCCTAAGCAAAAATGATGACAATTAACAGATAAAATAAGATGTACTCAATAATTATTTTCCTATTTGAATTATATTAATAGAATCACTTGGCCCTCTTCTTGGAAGGAAGTAGTGTTCTCTACATATTTGTCATCAGTCACTTCAAATTGACATTTCCCTAGCACATCCAAATAGATGAGGGTGTTTTTTAAAAAAAATTGAATCCTTTCTTATTTAAGGCCTCTTTTCACTACCATTTTTTAAAGTATCTTTTGTAGAGTGTGCTTCCTTTATGAAGAATTTTATGAATTCTTTATGAAGAAATTATTGAAATTGAGTTTGCAGGCAAAACAATTACTGCAGAAACAGTTGGATTGTCCCTGTAACCTTAGTTTATGTTCTAGTTTTGCATAATACACCTAAATGTTTGCTTTAAATGTAATAGAAGTTTATCAGCCTCTGTCATAGAATAAAATTGACTATTTAAGGATTGGTGGCAATATAGAGAATGTTGTAATTTGTTATATCTTCTGTTGGAAAGCTTATGATAAAAATATTTAATTGGGAAACAAAAAATATATGCCCATTAAATTTACCTCTACTTTAATTGTACCTTTCCAGCTCTATTAAAAATCTACAATACAATAATTGGTTTGTGAATTACTGACATGAATATAATCAATTTAGCAAAGTGAAGTATTTGTACAATGTAACTTTGGTGATTATGCTAACGTCCCTAGAGGGTTGCACCAAATGTCTTATCAATATAAAACATTCAATTGAAAAACATTTAAAAAGATAAGCAAAGGGATTGGCTAGCCTGAGCCTGAAGACCTGAAGCCCATAATTAGATGTACACTTCATTTTGTTTTTCATTTTGGCTACAGACAATTGCTTCATCCTAAGGAACATCATTTCTATGCTTTATATGAACACAGAAAATGAATGAATGAGAAGGATGCTGATGTATTACTATGAATGTACAGAATTGTTTAACCTAAGGCTTTTATCTGAACCATTTAAACATGTTCTTATTATATGCTGATTATCTCTTAAGGCACGAGATCCCAAGTAATTGCAGCTAAAGGCAAGAAAAACATTCATTTGTAGAGTAAGTTTCAAAGCTATGGAAATATAAAAGGGACGGCTCTTGGTTACCACAGAACTAAGTTGAAAAGTAAGAGGAAAGAGGAAAACACTAAATTTTCCCATTTTCATTACTATTAGTTAATCTTAATAATAACTCAATATTGTTTACCGGCAGAAATTGTGGGTTCAGGCAATTCCGAAGTAACATTTAGGTTTTGTTAAGTTTCCCAAATTGCTAGTTTAGCCTCCAGGCTACTTGAGCATTTGGAGAAAGAGTTCAGTGGACTCTAGGGAAACATTCTCCTGTGACACATTGGCAAAACAAAAGGCTTTTGTGCACCCTGAGTTTTAGTATTCTACTCTGTAATCATCCAGAATTCACACACATTAGGTTTAGTTTGTCATAGATATTTTCTAGCTTTCAGTTCGAGATGGTAGGATTATGTTTTGGTTATTAGTACATCTTTGGAAATAACTAGATTTCCTTACATTTTTAATGCACAAATAAAGATTTGGTATTTTTTTTCTTTTTTAAAAAAAAATGGTTTCATTGAGAAGAAATACAAATTCTGCATTATATACACACTACATTTTGTCTGTACTGGTTGAAAATATGTAAATGTTAATTGTTTTTTATACATTTATATTTTATGTACAAGTTACTTCTGGAAATATGCTTGATTTTTTTAAAAATATATATATTTTTATTAAAGTATTTGTATTTTTGACCCGAACAAGCAAAAGTACTCTGCTATTTTTTGCTAACATAAATATTTCTGTACTTAATTCCAAGGATATGAAATGGGGAAGCTATGACTAGCTTTGATCTTACGACAATTATGTTTATGATCTCTGTAGTCCACGTGATTTTAATATACTTTGGAACCTTTTTACCTTGAATATTTTTTTAAAATTCCATTTTGCACATGGAATCAATAGCAACCTGTTGGATAAATAAGGTGAAATGGCTCGTTGCAACTTCCATGCTGCTTGAATACTCATGAGACAGATCTAAGTCACAAAGTCTCTCTCCTTTTGCTTTGTTCAGTGTGATGTTCAGTATGTTTGAAGTTTAATAACATTTGTATGCCGCCCAATCCCGTAGGACTCCGGGCGGCTAACAATACAAATAAATCAAAAAGAAGAGAAGAAAAGAAAAGATAGATTTAAAAACACACCATGCACTCCGTTCTAAGTGGGGCTGGACCGAATTTTGGGGTCAACAGCCCCAGGCCTGCCGGAACAGCCAGGTTTTAGTGGCTTTACGGAAGGCTGAGAGAGTGGGAAGGGTCCGGATCTCTGCGGAAAGATCATTCCACAGGGCCGGAGCAGCCACAGAGAAAGACCTCCCCTGAGTAGTCGCCAACCGGCATTGCCCGGTCAACGTTACCCGAAGGAGGCCCAATCTGTGAGATCTT